TCTTTTTCTCCCGACATTTATCAATAGCTGCTCAACCGCCGACAGAGCAAGAAGGATGGTGCATTAGTCCCCTCGCGCTTCCTCGCGAGTAGATCCCTCCCACAGTACCCACACAAGTCCACCTTCGACAGGACAGACTAGTATTCCACCTATATGAGCCGTGCTTATGATCATGAGGCTCTAAAAGCAGAGCCTACCGATGGGTTTGCTTATCAGGTCTTTGTGCCGCTGCACCAGTAGCAATAGCAATAGCAACAGCCACAGCAACAGCAACAGTAAATCAGCCCTAGAATACCCCCCACGATGGGAAAATGCGTTACTGGTACGTAAGGAGGGGGAGGGGAGAGCGAGAGAGAATGAGGATGGCTTCTCGATGGTACTCGGCCGGTTCGATTGGTCATTCGGACCACTCGGGCATGCGAAAGCTTTCTCCTTACCCGAGGCAACCATCCTTTCCCCCACCGCCGTGGGTGAGGAGAACGTGCTCAACGGTTAGCAAAGCTCCACAGGCATGCAGAAACACAAGAACCGAGGCGCAGACGAGGGCGAATAGGCGGACTTGGCTTGTATCGGCAGCAGAACAAAAGCACCGCACCGCACAGCACAGCACAGCACAGCACAGCACAGCACAGCACAGCACGGCGGTGTGCGGTGAAGAATTAGAGTACATAAGTGTATACAGTACAGGGAGGCACACACACGCACACACACACGAGACAGGGTTAGACAAGGGCTGCCAAAGGACGAATGCATCCGCCCGGCCGCTGATGAGACCCAATCCTGTACTGTCATGTCTTTGTCCCGTCCTCTACTATCCTTGTATTTGTTTTTCTCGTCAAATGGTCAAGTGACGACCAAGAGGCCGGCAACACCCACCGCCAAGTTGAGGGGCGGGAGAGAGAGATAGAGAGAAGGCCAGCTCGCCGCCCTACACCCCGGTTTCCGCCAGGGATCTGTTTTTCAGCCGCTTACGGCGGAGCTGGAGCTGCTTGAGCCGCAACGCGACGTCTTGTTTCTCGGGGGGGAGGTGGTATCCAATCTTTTTCTTTTCTTTCTCTTTTGGCTTTGACTTATCTGGATGACTGCTTGCTCTGACCTACCTTCTGGTTGTGTGTATGTCGTGAAGCTGGTCTAGATTAAAATGATGAAACCCCCCCCCCCCCCAAGGTCTTCTTGATGCGGTGCCTGAAAAAGAACGAGAAGAGGTGAAGGAAGTGGGCGGGGGAGAAACGTAATAGTAACAAATGGTGCTATGGACTAGTTGTGCAACGATCAAGGAAGCAATGGGACGGATCCAACGGCTTCAAGATATTCGCTCATATGGATGTACCGGCTCGCAAGTCGCCTCCGTGCTTCCCCCCCCCCCCCCCTCTTTTTTTTCTTTCTTTCTCTCTTCTCACTCTCTTCCTTTCGTGAATTGACCGCGGGGTTAATCTTTATTACCTCTGTAGTGCTCGTTTCCGTCATGGCAGTGGATGGTGATCGGAGACTGTCTTTTTTTCTTCTTCTCCTGGGATTTAGTAGGGAAAACCCAAGTGTGGTGTTTGCATAAAGCATAAAGTTACATGGATGTACATTTTTAGTACAAATGGCAAAGCAAGGCAACCGAGAACAACGAAACAACAAAGAGTCCACGCATTAAATACGTTTCTACGACGCAAGGATAGCAAGTAGAGGCCAGAAGAAAAAAAGAAGAAAAAAGATGATGTGAGAAAACATATATGCAATTAGTTCAATGCTTTTTCATTCTCAATAGAATCAAGACTGTACTACATGTAATGCAAGGAGACAGAACCTCCCTCGACTCCCATGAGAACGACATACGGGCGGATAAGCCAACATCCCTTTCCCTTTTTTCCCCAGTATGCCATGGATGCCAAATAGACAACCTCCCATGCCCTCACCCTGCAAAGACACAACTAGAATTGCAATAATCAGGTTACAAAGAAAAAGAAAAAGAGGGAAGAAATAAATTCAGTGCTCATTATTGACTTTTTCTTCTTCTTTGTTTTCTTCTGCCCTTCTGAGATGTGATCTTGGTGTCTGAATGCAGCCTGCCCAGGTTGGTGGAGTAGCAAGACTTGTTTCCTTCTTTTTCTTCTTCTTTTGCATCCATGTTTCTGTACGCACGCAAGCCTAGCTGCGGCATGAGGCGATTCGAGGATGCAATGTTACTGGGCTCCCAAAACCACCTCTCTCTATCTCGCAGGGACCTCCTCAGCATCAACAGGGTTTTTTTCTTTTCCTTTTCCTTGTCGAAAGAGTAAAGAATTCAAGACTCGGGAACGACAATTACGCCAACAATTTTGGCCGCCATTCCGTAGTGGCCTATTCTGTTCCCTTGATCCAGATGAGAGATAGAGAGATGACGGGTTTCGTATCCGACAAAGAGAAGAGAGAGGTGGGGGACAAGAGAAGAAGAGGGACCACGGCTCAGGATGCTGAAGGCAGGCCCCGCCGTGCAGATTGTGTACATGGACAGGATACTACCGCCCAGTGAAGAGTCAAACATCCACCTTCTTGAGCTTTTTTTCTTCCCCCAGCGGTCCTCGGCACATACACACAAGCCGTCATCCTATCTTGCCAGCCAGCATGCCTCCTGATCTTCCTCAGCTATCGCCATCGAACATAAACACCCCCCCCCCCCCCTCTCCTTCAAAGCTGCTTCAAAGCTGCTCGCTAGATGTTGACGGGTCCTGTCGTCTGGCAATCAGAGAGGGAGAAAAGAAGAGGAGAAAAAGAAGAAGAAGGAAGAGAATGAGGGTTTGTTCTCCTTGCTTTCTCTCATTTCTTTCCCTTCTCTCTTCCATTAACCCCACCGCGACCGTTCCCTCTCGGCTTCAAGCCTCTTCATCCGTGCCTCCTCATTTCCATCATCTTGTACCAGTGCATCCCCGCCGCGTCTTTTTCTCTTGCCTGCTCTCCCACCATCGAGCCCGTCGTCGGTGCGCCGCTTCATGACCCCACCGCCCATTCCCGCGAGCCGCTGTGTCTCTTTGAGTAGCCTCTCGCGGTTCCTCGCCTCACGCTCCGCCGCGTGTGGGTCTTTTGAGGTGGGCCCGCTGCTCGCTGGGGCCTGTGACATCCGCCGGTCCGCGGCGGGACCCTTGGGTGGTGGCAGGCTTCTGGACGAAGATGGAGGGGCAGGCTTGCTGGTGGTCATGGCGGTAGCGGTGCTGTTATTGTTGTTGTTGTTGTTGAAGATGGAAAAGTTCTTGGAGATGCCACCTCGCGGCCCTGTGGGTGGGTTGAAGTCCTTGACCTCTGTTGGTGTAGCTGTCATGGACGAGGGCTCCGTCGGCGTGGGCGGCTCCGCGGTGCTGTGCTTGCTGCGGTGCCTCTCACGGTCTCGTTCTCGGTCTCGGTCGCGGCCACGCTCACGGTCGTGTTCTCGGTCTCGGTCACGCCTTCGATCCCGGTCTTTGCCCTCCCGATCCCTATCGCGGTCAGACCGGTCCGAGCGCTCGTGCTCGCGATCACGATCTCGGTGTCTCGATCTTCGCTTGGAATCACGGTCATCCTCGGCGTCTCGATCACGGTCGCGGTCTCGCTCGCGGTCTCTATCACGGTCTCTGTCCCGGTCTCTGTCTCGCTCGCGCCGCTTCTCCGAGTCGCGATCCTTACGTCGGCTTGACTTGCGCGACCCAGCAGGCGACGCAGATCTCGATCGGCCACCGCCATACTTGTCATCTCTCGACTGCTGCTGCTCGTCGTCGTCGTCGTTGTTGTTATTATCGTCGTCGTGATACTTCTTGCTGCTGCGATGATGGCGGTGCCGCCGGTCCTTGTCGTAGTCGCCGCGCTCCTCGGCATCCTCGACCGAGCGGCGGTGGTGGCTCCTACGCTTCCGGTCCCTGCGCTCTCGGCTGTGGCTCTGCGACCTCGACTGAACAGTGGACTCCTCGCGGTCCCTAGTACGACGGTCACGGTCCCTGTCACGGTGGTATCGATCCCGCTCGGCTGGACTGCGACTGCTGGTCTGGTCACGCTCACGACCACGGTGGTCGGGTTCGACTGCGGCCCCTCTGCGCTTAGCCGTGCTGCTTGCGACGGAATCACTCCTGGACCTACGACGATTGCGGTCATCATCCACCGGTGGCGTGGCCATGCTGCCATTTGCACTCAAGACACCTGGGCTCTGGACCCTATTCGCCTCGCTACCAGGAATCTGGTAGCCTCGCGCCCGGAGGGTCTTAAGACTAGTGTTCGGCAGGCCGTTGCGCATGGCCTTGGGGCCCTTTGGTGCATTGAGGGGCACGTCGGGCACAGGGGAGGAAGCTGCTGCTGCTGCTGCTGCTGCTGCTGCTGCTGCTGGCGGTGGCATGCCTCCGAAGCTGCCTCCTCGTTGATGATAGTTGCCCAACATGGGGGGTCCATTGAACCTCATACGCGCATCTCCTGGATTTGGGCCCATGCCAGACGCATCATCTGACTGCACTGTCTCGATTGCGGAAAGTTGTTGTTGCTGACCAGGACCATCTGCTGCATCTTGTCCATCTGGGGTGCTGGTGGTGATGGTTCCCTCAGCCTTGACGCTGTCGGCCACGTTCTGGCCATCTCCAGTCTTCTCTGCATCTTGCTGGTGTTCGCCGCCTTCCTCGCTCGTCTGAGGACGAAGTGTGCGACCAAATTCGTCCACATTCTTGCCCACCTCGGCTTCAGCAGATGGAGATGTGGATGATACGTTCTGGACGGGTTGGGAGGCATGGGAGGGGCCCTGGGCCATCATGTTGGAACCGTATTGCTGCTGCTGGTGGTTCATGTGGTTGTTCTGGCCCTGGTAGTTGCCTTGCTGTCCGTATCCATAACTGCCGCCGCGGCCAAAGTTGTTGCCGTAACCACCAGCACTACCACGGCCTCGGCCGCGGCCGCGAAAGTAGCCTCCTCTGCCGCGGAAGTCATTGTACTGGTTGTGAGGGCCAAAATTACCTTGATTGTATCCTGTGTGGTAGCCAGAGTTAAAAGTTCCATAATCACCGTTACCCATGCCAGAAGCATTTGGATGATTGTAATTATTCTGGCCGTTATTCCATGATTGTGGTCCGCTCCAGTTCTCTTCGGTGCCAACACCACCACTGAACCCTCCCATGCCGCCGTTCATCATGCTCATGTCCATGCCTGGCGCACCGAAGCCACTGTTCATCTGGTACATGTTCATCATCGAGGGGTCCATGTTCATGCCGGGCATGCCTGCCACACAAAGAAACGAGAGAGAAAAACAGTCAGCGTTTGAACTTGTATCATGATAATGATGGTGGTGATGATGAATTGTTGTGGTGATGATGAATTGTTGTGCTGATGATCAGGGACGAGTTAGATGTTGAAGTAGATGGATGGTTGAACTCACCCATCATAGGGAAACCGAAACCATTGGGCGCCATCCCGTTCTGCATGGCCATCATCATCTGCATCTGGTTCATCTGGCCAAAATCACCTCCACCCAGGTTCATGTTGGGAAACTGTCCGTTCATGCCGTTGAAACCGAATGCATTTGGAAAGGCAGCAGCAGGCTTCTGCTGGTCGTCCACATTTTCGATCTCGCCGCCCTCGTTCGACTCCCCTGGAGCTGCTGCCTCGGCACTGTCCCTCTCTTCGTTCTGCTCACCGCGGACTTCGAGCTGCTGCTGCTCTTCGCCCTCGGCTTCTCCCGCGCCCTGTTCGCCAGCCAGTGCAGTCTGCTTCCCAGGTTAGAATCCTAGAATGGCACATGAGACAGTCTACATAGAACACATACCTCGTCCTCAGCAGGTGGTGGCGGTAAGGTCTCCTGGTCCTCCGTCGCCGCAGCAGTGGCCGCGTCCTGTCCAGCAGAGGGACCATATTGTTGCAACTCAGTTGCCTGTCCGTCGCCCTGTGCAGACACATCGTCCGCAGGAGCTGCCTGCCGTACAGCAGACACATTTTCGGGAGGTGCAGGGATAGCACTAGGTCGGGCATCAATAGGTGTGATGGGGGTTATAGGCGTGACGTCCTTGGCTTGTGAGCTGTCTCGCTTCTTCTCGGCGGTCTTAAGGAAGGCTCTTGTCGTCATGCGAAGCTTGTTGTTGGGCTTGCAGTCATCGGCGGAGACGGGGTTGTGTTCGCAGACGGGGCAGGTGGATGGCAGCGTCAATTTGCCTGTCATTGTCAGTCGAGACGAGAGAGGGGAGGGAGAGAGGGAGGGAGGGTGAGAGGGTGAGAGGAAAGGGGTTAAAAGGCATACAGTTCTCGCAGATCATCTGCTCGCAGCAGGGGGTCTTGAAGGCGTTGACGGCCAGCTTGCTGCAGATGGCGCAGCGGAGCTTGAAGGGCACCTCGTCCTGTGGCAGCGAGCTAGTGAGAGGGCAGAGGTCAGTAGGCAGTGGTCGAGAAGCGCCTCAGAGGCTGCGAGGCTGCGAGGTTGGGAGTTTGGGGCGGAGTTTGGGGCGGAGGGGCATTGACATACCTGATGAGCTCGGCCAGGGCAGAAGTGACCGTCACGTAATTGGCTGCCATGGTGACGGGCTCTGCGACAGGAGGAGAGAGGAGAGAGAGGACGAGGAAGGAAGAGGAAGGACTGTTCGCATGTGCAGTGGGAGAACTGCGGCGCGGGGTGCAACAGAAGGGCAGCACCAAACAGTCGCCTTCCGTTTGTTCAGAAGAATGAGTCCTGCAAAAAGTGTCTCTCCATCTGTAAGACACTCTGCTTCAGCTGCTGTTGATAAAAGAATAAGAACGCGACGCAGTCTGTGGCTGAGAGAACGAGAAGAAGGGTTGGCTTTTGGAGAGGTGCGTCCTTGTCGTTTTCGCCTTGGGTGACGCGAGCCGTGGGCCCTGGTCTGGTTCTCTTGCGCGGGCTGATGCAACTGTGCAAATTCTCAACCTACTTTGGGGCAAGGGTCTTCCGCCTGCAGGAGCACGGACCATGCCCTCCCGCCTTATCAGCTAGCCGTTAGAGCCGTTATGCATGATGGAGAAATCGTCGCTTCTTCACATGGAGTTTGGAAGAGGAAAGCAAAGGGATTTTACAGATTGTGACCCTTCTAGAAGATACAACAATCTGCTAGCCAGGTCCATGCTGTACTGGGCGACATCTGTTTGCAATGATAACAACATGAACAAAAGAGATATTTGTTGCCTTTGAAAAACACCCACTTACAGTATAACCAAACTCTCCACCAATACTGGGGAGCAAGAAGCCATGCCTTGAAAAAGAAAGTAGGATTCGCTGTCTGATCAACATAAAACTTCAATACGATATTATCCCCCAAGTGACCTGCCCCTTGAGACCTATCACTCCCCCCTTTCCTAAAACATAACAGTGAATGCAGATGCTTGCCTGATCGAGCCCACAACCGCCCTCGTGGCCATTTCCCCTACCCCATCGTCCTCTTGATCATCATCATCATCGTACACAGTACTGCCTCTTCACCGTACCCTCCTTCACTAGCAGCCCATCCAGCCATCCACACACACAAACACCACCGTCTTCTTCTCCCAGCTCTCATTTAACCTATCCACCCTAACAAGCACAACCTTCCTTGCCAGCCTGGTCTCGAGGACCGCTCAGGTTCACCCTCTGTTCCTCGCCTCCCCTGCTGACGGCATTTGAGGCGCCCGCCCCCCTAGCACTCTTCAGCGATGTCTCCGGGATGGCGTTGGCGATTGCCGTGAACACCTCCGTAACGTTGTGCCCTGTCTTGGCGCTCGTCTCGAAGAACAGCAGCCCTTCCTCCTCCGCATATGCCTTGGCCTCCTCGGTGCTGACCTTCCTCGCATCGCCACCGTCGTCCGCCCCAGCAACCGCACCATCATCATCATCGTCCCCACCAGCAGGTGCGCCGCCGCCCGAGGAGGCGCTCGTCAGGTCCAGCTTGTTCCCGACCAGGGCAATCACGATGCCCGGACTCGCCTGGCGCTGCAGCTCGGCGACCCAGTGCTTGGCCTTGATGAGGCTGGTGGGCTTGGTGAGATCGTACACCACGAGGGCGGCCTGCGCGTTGCGGTAGTACATGGGCGCCAGCGAGGCGAAGCGCTCCTGGCCCGCCGTGTCCCAGATTTCAAATTTGATGGTGCGAGTCGGCAGGCTGCACTTTTGCGTCAGGAATGCCGCCCCGATCGTCGGCTCCTTGTTCTCCTGGAAGTCGTTGTTCACAAAGCGCAGCACTAGAGACGACTTGCCCACCGCCGCCTCGCCAAGCAGCACGAGCTTGACGCTGCTCGAGGGTTTGGGCGCGTTGGAGTCTGCCATTTTTTTCTCTTTATTTTTTGCTTTTTTCTTCCGAGGTCGTATGTGTTAAAGTGTGTGTGTGTGGTTTAAGAGACCGTTTCGTTGGGAGGAGGTGGCGGTCTTGTCTGTCTGTCTGTCTGATGGAGCTGCTGTTGGTGGAGCTTTTTGTATGTCGTCGGAAGATGGCGGGGAGGTGTTTTCGAGATATTCGTTATCGCTGGAATTGGATGGGGAACGGAGAATTGAGATTGATGGTACAGCGTCGGCAGCTGTTGAGATTGATTGTGTGGTAATGATGATGGTTGGTGAGAAGGAAGGAAAGTTGGGCGATGGCTGTGTTGGGTGGGGGGTCTGGTTGCTGGGTGTGTCGGTTGGAAGTTGCCTTATGCCTTACGCCTTGTGCCTGTGAACAGCGTCTGGCCTGCTTCAGCGTGACGTCTGGTCCCACTGCGGCGCCTGTAACGCAATGCCTCACTGGGCTGGTCATTCTTATCTTATCCGCTAATGACGCGCGATTGTGGCTGCCTCAAGCTGAGTTCGCGCCACCTGGCTGAGCTTCGAGATCACGGCTCTCTTTATATGCCTTCCAAAATTGTTACAGTTATAAATCTGATACCAAAATAATGAGATCTATGTTACTATTTAGGGGTGGAATTGAACTTGGACGCAGTTGCAAGAAAGGACTGACGCCGAATCAATAGGCAAGGGCCCAGTCGACCCGAGCGTGCCGGTGTAAAGAAAACTACCGCGAAAGAGGATCGAGATGACATAACAGAATGAAAGAAGAAGAAAAAAATCTCATACTTCTTTCCAGAGGTCTCGAAATTAAAGAAGACGAGTTGTCTAATTGTTGTTCTCTGTCTGAAAAAATAGTGGAAGGGAGTAATACCCTTGTAACTGTACCACAACCTCATGATCCACCTGTATTCCCTGTCCTAAGTTCGACATGACTGGCCACCCCAACATTGCCACAACAATACTAGCAGGATGAAGTTCTACCCAGCGGCAACAGTGGGATCTTGCGAGTTTATTGTAAGGTCGGATGCAGTACAGAGATTTACTCGAATAGCGCTGGCATGGTTATAGTCCACAAGATCCTTTCCCTAGCAGGCTAGTTTTCAAGCATATCCGACATATTCAACATAAACGATATGAAGCACGAGATTTCTGTATTAGCAAGACTGATCAGTGCCCCTCTCATAAGATATAGTCTCCCAGAATGCGGACTACCTTCTTTATTACGTAGCCTAAGGAAGTTCACCGTGCCACCTGTCGAGATCGGGCTCGATACAAACAATGATGTTGATATATTTCGAGTACCATGTCCGACCTTCCCCAGAGAAGACGGCGGCTGAGTTAGGCCGAGACTGGTCAGTAACACTCACTCAAGCAGACGTTCCTCCCTCCTCTTCCCAAGATGCCAAATTATAGTCGACAATATCTAGGCAAGAACATTCCGGTGATTATTTGTCTGCGTATGATCGTGCATTATCCAAGTAGACTACGGCAGCGTAACGTTGGTCTTTCCCAGTACTTTGAGCCCTGCGTCTTGTCCGGGGCCGACGTGAGCTCTGGCCTTCTCACACGTGCTTATGATCCGGCGTGACTATCAAGGCCTTGCCCGCGTGACATGCGGAAAAGCCAGCCTACAAACATAATGCTGGGCTGTCCTCTCCAGTTAGTATATAGCAGGAATCTAAAGTTAGGGGTTTGAAGCGCGCATTTCGCAGTTAGCCTCTGCGCACAAAGAAGGCCTTGATTAGCAGATGGCTGAGTACATACTTGAAGAGTTAATATTTGGCAGAACGAAAAACCAAATTAATATAAGAAAGTACCTACCTCGTTTTGATGATCTTCAATGCTCCCACTAAGGATCACTCATACCCTACGCTTCGCTTAATCGATCAAGCACAATCACAATACCCAAGATTTCTCTTAACAAGACAAGCCCTTCCACACATGACCGGTAGTATGAATTTTGTGCGCAGAACATAACCTTGTCACTTCAAATACTGCAAATTATGCATCATTGATCACTTCCACTTCAATTTCTTAAGGAACAGACGGAAGTAGCAGCCAAGTCGCAAGGTACTTAGCCATCAGCTCTTACGACGGCAGTCCCGACTCCTTGTGTGCTTGCCTTGTTTGTGAAGTCACTCTTACCTTCAGACAAGAACTGCACAGACAAATCCGTACACCGCAGCTCCAACCCTGTTTCATAAGAGACACGTGTCGCTCACGTGTTTCCGGCCTTCAGGATTCGGATCCAAGTGTTCTTTTTCAAGATAGTCAAGCTCGCGAATGCACGTCTTCGAATGATGTCTTCGTTGTTTGGGACAGAAGTGGAACACGCTAGCTTACCACTGGCATAGCAGACTATCCACCCAACCATCCAGCTGATTGGCAGGCGCGACAACGGGGGAGCCACGAGCCCCTCCACGAGTCTTCCCTAGGCTTGAGATCCTTATCTTATCTGCTAATCCCTGCTCAGCCAAAAAAAAATAAAAAATAAAAAATAAACAATAAAAAAAGTCCTAAACCAGAAAGTACCCTCGTCTTAAGGCGGCTTGAAGATTTTGATTTCATCCAACCTTGGAATCTTTCCTTCTAGTAAATCACCGGATTTCAGTTACTGTACACCAATCTGTTCTTGCCATTCCCTATGTGTGGTGGTTCTTGGCGCTTGCCAGTGGAATAGGCAAGCACTCGCCCCCATATTAAATTCAGCAGCGCCAACGCGCTCGAACCTCATCAAGACGCGACCAAGATGGCCAACACGAAGAAGAACCTGTTCGACGAGGATGGCTCGGACGATGGCATTAGCAGCGCCGGCAAAGACTTCCATGGTGCAGGCGCTGCCGACCTGAAGATCAATGAGGAGTATGCACGCCGCTTCGAGCACAACAAGAAGCGCGCAGAGATGCATAGACGTACGCCCCCCCCCCCCTTCTTTTCCGTCCTTCCTCGCCCTTTGCAATATAGCCCCTACTAACTGAGTATCTGGTAACGATGATAATAGTCGAGGAAAAGTACAAAACACGAGCCTCCAACGGCCGAGACGATGATGAGGACGATGACGAGGACTCCTCCTCAGACGAGACGGAGGATGAGGAGGGCTTCCTAGCCACCGAGGAGCTCGACGCCGAGATCTCCGCCACTCTCCAGGCCATCAAGAACAAAGACCCCAGGATCTACGACAAGGAGGCCAAGTTCTTCCGCTCCATAGACGAGGAGGACGGCGGGGCCGCTACGCCCAAGGAGAAGAAGACCAAGCCCATGTTCCTGCACGACTATCACCGCGAGCGCTACATGGCGGGCGACACTGGCGCGGACGAAGAGGAGGCAGCGGCGCCCAGGACGTTCGTGCAGGAGCAGGCGGATTTGAAGAAGAACATCCTGGCCGAGATCAATGCTGCGGCCGACGAGGACGACGATGAGGACGACGAGGATGCGTTCATCAAGGCGAAGCCCGGCGCCAAGATGACCCAGACGACCGAGGGCGGCGTAGTGCACCCGTCGCGGCAGGAGAGAATCAAGCCCAAGGACGTGGACCCGTCGCTCGCCGACAAAGACCCGGAGCTGTACCTATCCAACTTCATGGCGTCGAGGGCGTGGGCCTCAGGGGACGGCGGGAACAAGTGGCAGGCGTTCGAGTCAGACGAGGGGGAGGGCAACGACGACGCCGACGAGTGGGAGACGGCCTATAACCTCCGCTTTGAGGATCCGGCCAAGAGCAACGAGATGCTCATGTCGTACTCGCGTAAGGTCGTCGAGGCACGTACGGTCCGGCGGGAGGAGCTCAAGGGCAGGAAGCGCCAGCGCGAGCTAGAAAAGGAGAGAAAAGCCGAGGAGAAGAGGCTGCGGCACGAGGAGCGCGCCAGGTTAAAACGCCTCAAAATCGAGGAGGCCGAGGAGAAACTCAAGAAGATCAAGAAGGCAGCCGGCCTCAAGGGCAAGGAGCTCAGGGACGACGAGTGGATGCAGCTGCTCGACGGCACCTGGGAGAACGACCAGTGGGAGGAGGAGATGAACAGGCGCTTCGGCGAGGCTTATTACGCAGAGGCGGATGAGGGCTCGGGTTCGGATGCGGAGGACGAAGAGGGCGACGACAACGACGACGGCGGCAAGTCGAACAAGAAGAAAAAGCCCAAGAAGCCAAAGTGGGATGACGACATCGACATCAAGGATATCATGCCCGACTTTGAGGACGAAGAGAGCAAGCCCAAGATCAGCCTATCCGACTTGGAAGCCGAGGGCGAGGAGCAAAATGAAGGGAACGACGACGACGACGACGACGACGACGACGACGACGACGACGACGACGGAGACAAAGACGAAGACGGATCGCGCCCCTCCAAGAAGAAGCGCAAGACAACCAAGGACCACAAGGCCGAGCGCCAGGCCGCCAAGCGCACCGCCCGCCAGGAGCGCGCCAAGCTCGAGGCCCTCGTCGACGCGCGCATGGAGCTCGACGACCCCACCGTCCTCTCCACCTCCCGCAAGAACGCCACCAAACCTTCCTCGTCCTCCTCCGCGCCCGCAGCAGCAGCCTTCCGCTACCGCGAGACCAGCCCCCAGTCCTTCGGCCTCACGGCCCGCGACATTCTGCTCGCGCCCTCGGACGCCGCGCTCAACGAGTTTGCGGGCCTCAAGAAGCTGGCCACGTGGCGCGACGCCGACAAGAAGAAGAAGGACAAGAAGCGGCTCGGCAAGAAGGCCCGGCTGCGGGAGTGGCGGCGCGAGGTCTTTGGTAGGGAGTTTGAGCACTCGGGCCCTACTTTTGGGTTCGGCGGGGTGGGAGGAGAGGGTGGTGAGGAGGCGGCGGAGGAGGAGGCGGCAGACGGGAGGGCTGGGGAGGGCAAGAAGAAGAGGAAGAGGTCCAAGGGGAAAAAGAAGGCTACCTCTGCTGCGTAATTCCAGAAACCAGATACCAAACTTATATCCTCACTCCATAGCCTTCACAAGGCATGATGTACATTTCATTCCTTTTCCAAACCCCGTCCGTCTCTTCTCGTAAAGCACCTCAAGTGTGTAAGAATTTCTAGGACAGCTTGATTTTGACAATAAGCTACTGAGACCCAACCGCCGATGAAAAAGGCAAAAGAGGTACAAGATCGGCCATCCAATCTCTGTATCGCCATGCGCCCGTGTTCCCCAGTATTTCCAGATGCATGACTTGACTCCGGGCCCTTTTAATATTATCAATTCGCCGGTTTCCCCCTTCCCCCCTTTCCCACCCCGGGATCCAAACACTGCCTGAAGACTCCAAGCCCCATCCCAAAAGCATACCGACCACTTCACTTCAATACATTCAAGTACGTACATGTCTGATAAGAAACTGTTGTTTAAACCATGGAAACAGATTGGGTATGCTCTCTCTCGGTTCCTGTCTTTCTCTCTCTTCCCTGCGCCTCAAGTCGAGGCTCTTCAGATATCATCATCCCCTAGTGACCGCCATTCAAACCACCTCGTCCAGCACCGTTCCCAGTGCCAAACAGGGTACCGTATGCATCAACGCCCCCTAGTCCACTAAAGTCTGGAACGCTCGGCGCCTCAAAGTCCATGAACCAGGACGCTGAGCCGGCATCATGGTTATGACCCCAGATTGAGGCTTGCGAGGGGGCGTTGTGATGACCACCGTCGGCGCTCGTTCCCGCAGCACCTCCAGCAGAACCATGACTTTCTTCTCTTGCACCGCTGGCGCTGTTCTCAGCCCCATTCCACTCTGAAAGACCTTCCATCATGGCCGCCGTGGCGGACGCATCTATATTGGCGCCGACGTTGTAGGTTCCTATGCCTAACAAGGACTGCCGAGCCATCCCGCCCGGCATGGCAAGCTGCATGCTGTTGAGCAGATCCTGCGCGCTTAAGCCGTGCGCGTAGTGTTGCTGACCGCCAAACTGTCCGTGTCCAACATTCAGAGGGGATATGGGAGAGAGGGCTGCGGCGTAGGCCCCAGATTGCGGGAGGTTGGCGAGCAGGTCCCTGAAGCCCGGCGAGGCGCTGCTTGCGCCGGCCATGGTGACCCCGGGCATAAATGGGCTCTGCTGCTGCTGGAGCCCGGCCAACTGTGCTGCTGCTGCCGCCGCTGCCGCCGCTGCCGTGCTATCTGTCAGGACTGGGTCCAGCTGGTGCCTGCTGCCGCGGTGTTCGCGCCCGTCGCGCCCGCGGGAGTGAATGCTGCCACGCTTGCCAGCAGGCCCTTTCGTCTTGCCCGATATAGATTTCGACCGGACTGAGCCATCTCGGCTCTGAGAAGGGGGAAACTCTGTAATGTATTCCTCCACAGTGCGCAGCTCCGACTTCTGCTCGAGAGCCGCGTCCTCACCCTCCTCCTTCTTTTTGTGGATGGCCGGGTCGGCAAAATCGGACTGTGACACGCCGTGCGGGTAGCGGTCAAACCAGTCACCGTACTGGAAGATAGAGGCGATGGACGGCGAGCTCCCGTTGGGCAGATTCCCACGGACAGACGTCTCGGCGCAGTTGCGAAATTGGTCCCGCAGGTTGTCTATCATGTAGCTAAACATGCCCCAGTAGCGTTTCATCCTGGAGAGAAAGTTGATGTTGATGCCGAGGTTGTGCCTCGAGTTAGCCTGGATGGTGGGATTGCTGGTATACGAGCCAATCACATGGACAGTGCTCGAGAGGAAGGCACAGTAGCCGACAAAGGGAGCGGTGACGAAATAAGATTCGGATTCCTTGAGGATCTCCGAGATTCGGTCGGCTGCGTCGTAAGCCTTCTTGCCAGCATTAATGACGAATGGTGTAGGTGGTACTTCGGCGGTGTTGGCGCTACTCGGAGACGTTGCGAACCGGTTGAGGAACAGGATGTTCTGTTGTATGGCAATGTGTAGGAGGATGAACTGGTTCGCCAACGACTCTGTGTCGTGCACATGTAGGTTGGCCGAGTTATAGACAAGGGATTCTGGCAGGGAGGTTGCCATCTCCTCGGCCTCGTTGGCCAGCCTCGTATACTCCGAGTCAGGGTCCCACAACGACTTGACGTCCAGGTCCTTGCCGCCCTGGTTCATGTGACTGACTATGCGGCCCCAGATCGATATAGCCTTGATGAGGTATGCGGCCACGCCCATGTTCTCTTTGGCATTGGATGCCTCGGCCCCATCTTCGGCACCGGCGGCACCTGGGACCTCGCCTTGTAGGTTCTCGGTCAGTGCCGGCATGTCCAGCTGGAAGTTCTTCTCCTTGACGGGTAAGGGGATCCGGAGCATCTCTTCCTTTATGAAGCTCGGTCGATCTCTTCCCGACGAGTGGAATCGGTCCATCAGGAAGCATGCCCACATAGTCCTGCGCCGGATCTCTCGGTCCACAAAGCTGAGGGGCACATTCGGTCTGGCAGGGTCGTGGTCGAGATCCTTGTGCAGCTGGAGTGCGAATGCCATTCGTATGGCCTGCCCACCCAGTGCCCAGCTTCGGGAGCCCTGGCAGGTAGCAAATTCGTGCAGCCCGAGTATAAGGAGGCATATCAAGATGGTGATGTTGGACCAATCGTATCGCTTGTTGACAATGTCACGCGCAGTCGACGCCCATTCTTCGCCTCGTAGGTACTCTGGCCTCTTCTTGGTCGTCAGCTCCGGGTGGTTGGAGAACCTGGCGGCTATCGCGCAGACAGAGAGAACGAGCACGGGGGGTAGCGCGCCAGCTCTAAGATGTGTGTCAGCTTGGCCTACGATCCGATGATCTAGTGACCATGAATGAATAGGGGAAGTGGCGGAAACGGCTCACCTAAGCTTTCTCATAAAACTTGGCTTATGGAGTATATGGTAGGCTTGGCCGTAGACGTGGTCAAAGAACACGTCGGCGAGGTGTTCCTGAATATCTCTCGAGGGTAGAGCGCCCAGGCCCTCCTGCAACAACCTCGTCTCTTCGCTCTCGTGGACGCTTAACAGCAGGTTGGGGTCGGCTGGGTTTCCGAGGCTCTGTTTCTTTGGGGTCTTTGCCCACGAATCAAGATCGGGGCCAGCAAAAGCCTCATCCGCGCCGCGCTTCTTTGGACCCTTGCCAGAACTCGCGGTTCCAGGAATGGCAGGCCGGACGTTTGCACGGGGGACGGATGATGCGATGCCTTCCTGCTCGTTTCTGGGGACGGCCTTGATGATGCGCTCCTCCATTCGCTTCAGGCGCTTGTCCAGCATGGCCATGTAGTCGGTCCGAGGGGCAGCCTTGCGTGTCGAGTGCTTATAGACGCAGGGCACTCTGCCGCGCGTGCAGTGCTTGCAGGCGGGCTTCTCGCCTGAGCAGCGGACCTTCTTCCTCCTACAGGCGGTGCAGGCCAGGGGCAGTCTCTTGCGCTCCTTGCCAGCCTTGGTCTTCAGCTCACTCCATGCCGGGGCCGAGTCGGCCTTGTCCTCCCTGGGCTTGCCGCCCAGATCGGTCCCGTCACCGGGCTCGAAGCTCAGGCCGAACTCGTCCGACAAGGGGTCGCCGAAGCGGTTCCCCTGGGGGTGGCCTCCTGGGCTGTCTTCATCCGAGCCCTCCATGCTCGACCGTGCTGGCGACGAGCCGGTCCCTGCTGCAACAGGCATGCGTACTGTGATGGACTGGGCTGGTGGTGGCTCGAGGCCCGGCCCTGAGGACGGCATGGGCTGCTGCTGCTGCTGCTGCTCTGGGTCGGCGAACAACCCTGGGGCATGTTCCCCGCCGCTCAGGGGCCCAAGCGACGACGACTGGTCTGGCGAAAGGCCGTGTTGATAAGGAAAGTCGTCCAACTCAGCAGCAAAATGCAATGTGGTAGCCAGGTGGCTATGCGGCGGAAAGGAGTCTGCGCCAAAGAGCTGGTCGCTGGTGTGCTCGACACGAAAGGCGTCTTGTGCAGTCAGGTCGTGGCCGGGAGCGACAAGACTTTCATATGGATCCAGGTGCAAGTGAGCAGGGAGGGGCTTGGTATCGAGCCGAGATGGAGCCGCTGACATGTCGTTTGCTAACGGAACAGCAACCTGCAAGGACTTTGCTGATCAACGGCCTGGCAGGTTTAGGTTGCGGGTGGTCGGACTAAAAGAGGAGAGCATCTGCAGGGTTTCTGGGAAGGGCCTCTCTCGATTCGGCGACGCCTCGGAGAGCTGGTCAAGCCTCTGTTCCGGATCCTGCACCGAGTTGGGGGAGAGGAACAAAGAGAGGAAACGCAGGCCGTCCCTTTAGGCCGACGTCGAATGGGTCTCTCTTGCGGGGTTAGGTGTGTCAGTATGTGCGGTCGTATGCGTGCGTATGTGAGTGTGTGCGCGTGCGTGTGCGTGTGGGTGGGTGAGTGTGAGTGGGTGGGTGAGAGTGTGTGTGGGTGTGGTAATGGCAGTGTGATGCAGAGGATGTCGAGCCCCTCCTACCGAGAACGAGCCAGGTATGGAAGCTGGTCCCACCCCCTGGTGACGGTGTTGCTCGCGACAAAGGTCGAGAGGAGTTGAGGACGACTTCTTTTTTTCTTCTCTTTTTCTACGCTCATCCCTCTAGAAATGTCCACACGCACAGGGGGGGCTTTGATACACTACAGAACAAGCCCCAGAAGTCGAAGTATGTCCAGATGAAAAGGACATTGAACAAGAAAGAAGAAAGAGAGAAAGAAAGCAAGAAAAGAAGAGAAATAACGAAGGAGTCTGGGTGAAGAACAGAGGGAAAATGTTCGGATGCTTCACCCAGGCCAGAGAGTCCGCACGCAGACTACGACCAGCAGAAGCAAAGGCTCAGCACGACCGAGGTGAAAATAAACACGACAAGTCCTTAATTCTTCTTCCTGGAGGTCGATGCCGATCGCCCCGAGGGTTCTTTTTCCCCAAGGTCGCAGACGCGCGAGACTTGGGAGAGGGAAACTGGCGGTAATTCTGGGGGAGGAGACAAACGATTTTGGGTTGAGTGGATAATGAAGAGGATCTGGTTGGTTGGACATTGGCAGAGCTTGGTAGGCACGCAGCGGAGAATCGACGGCACCACACTAGTTTTACTAAGTACAGGCTGTACTGTACTGTACTGTTCCTTCCTCCCCTCTCTCCCCCCTGCAGTGTAGTAGCGCCCCAGTGCCGAGGAAGGAGGGGAGGCTTCTTACCTTCTCCACAGCTGCAGCCCACCCCTGTCCTCACAGCATCCCCTGTCCCTACCCATCATCATACTATGGTACAACGTAGTAGTACAAAAAGGAAGCCACGGTCCTGCAGCGCAACGCACAAGCCGCTGCAGTTAGGAAGCAGCATGGCAGGGAGGTGAACAAGGGAGCCCCCTATTTCCCAGAGCAATGCTTGTGTTTGTGCTTGTGCTGTGCTGTGCTGTGCTGTGCTAAGTGTGCTTCTGAAATGTGCATCTGCACCTGTATCTGCATCTGCACCTGCGCGTTCCGCCCGTTCTTGAGGTCTCGCTAGGAGAGGGGCGAACAGGGGGCGAGGGTTTCGCCGGATGACCCGTCTCGGCGGTCAAGAGTGGGGGGAGAGGGGGGGAGGAGAAGTACCATTTAGAGTGTATCGTTCTATAGCAGGTACCTACTTATTGCACAGTTTCCACTCCAAATATGCGGGGAGCCTCTAGTGTGGGAGGGTCCCTCTGCTTTTTGCGCCGCTGGGGGGGTTTTCTCTTTCTTCTACCACTACTGTAGTGTGTACGTATGTACCTTTATGTACGAGCAGTCTCCTCCCTACTCATAATAGAAAAAATCATGCATATGCGGATGCTACTTCCGAGGTTCTGATTTTTTGTTGTCGGTTTTTTCTTCACCCTTCCTGGTTTTGTCAAGAGAGAAAAAATGTGTGTATGTGAAAAGAAGAAAAAGGGAAAAAAGAAGAAAGAAAACCTTGCAGGCTTCGATCACAGCCCCCTGAATATTCCCTCTGATGACGGATAAAAAGAAGAAGAAGAAAAAGAAGAAAGAAGGAAACAGACAGCAACCTGATTTTCATCGATCGGAGGAGAGATGGGATGGATGAATGTCTCAGCCAATGGCTTGCCAGCATTCCCAGTTCCAACAATTGAGGGTGCTTGTCATTTGGTCGTAGGCGGGAGGGAGGGAGGGTGTGTGTCACAGACACCCTACAGGCAATAAAAGCCCGCGCCGTACTGTGTAAATTCCCCACTGGCTAGCGTTGGACAAGGGCTAGCGAGACGTCCATACTGGGGTCTACGGCCGTGCACACCACTGTCCACAAGCACTTGACAAGTATAAGGCCTAGAGCAACAGGGTGTGAACACTAAGCCGACGCGGGATGATTTACTGAACAGACACGCCTGGTATGGTTTGATTGGCTTCTTGGTAGGAAAAAGCAACAGCAACTACAACAGCGAAAAGAAAAGCAGAAGACGAAAAAAGGACGAGGACAGAAGTAAGTGAGAAAAGAGAGGATCTGAAATTATACACGCGAGGTAACATCGACAGGCATTCTCAGCCAACCAACGCACTATAACACTTCCTCGGTCAGATAGGCCAAGAGAGGGGTCACCATCTACCCTTATATAGAGAGCGGTTCATCCTCGGCCGGATCTACGTCAGTGATCTGTTGCGATTTGGTACCGATAAACAAGCAATTTTCAGTTTCAAGTAGTCTACAACTTTATGGAAGAAACTTGATAAGAGACAAATTAAGCTGGCCCCTCTTGTTCATGCCCAGCACAGCGTGTCTCCCCCCCCCCTTCTCTGTGCTATCAATCAACTCACGACTAATAACGAGAGTTTTAAAGTAGCAGTCCTAGATGATCTAGCCTCACTTATCTCTCTCTCCATTCCTGAGCAATTAATCCTTTGTCGAAGCTACTCAAGTTGAGGTACAAGCCATCCATCGTTCGTCAATACGACAGGTCCGACAGCATGCTTGGTTGTCAGCTGATTGGCCATCAATAGGTGGGCAAAAAAAAAAAACCAAAAAAAAAAACCCAAAAAAAAACCAAAAAAAAAAAAACAGCACGAATGGTTCATGCAGCTGCACTTCTCCCGGCCGGTTATGCATAATACCGAAGATCCCGGAGGCGCGACAAAACAAAGGAAACCCTCACCAAAGACCGCGCTTCTCAGTCATTTGGCGATGATGTGTTCACTCCGCTTTGTTGCAAGTATGAGCTCGTTGACGTCTTGTTGACGTCCAGACCGGTGCTATTCCCACGTTATAGCTCGACTGTCGTTTCATGCACCCCCAAGTTGGATAAGTGAGCACATAAGGACCATCCTTCCAAAGGGCTAACTCTGCGCTGCATCAGGCGGAGAGGGGTTTACTGCACGGGCTTTGCCCCAGCGTGACAAGCTCGAAGCTGTCAAAACAAGCTGTCATCTTCTCCAGGCTTGCCAAGGTGTCAGTTGCTGCGGAATACACATTAGATCACTTCGAGAATGCAGGGAGAGAGTTGGGCGTGCTGAATAATCTGTCGCCTCAAGGCAACAACATCGTGATTCCGTATGTAAACAAATGATCACTACATCGTAAATAGTCTTTGCTCCAAGAAGCTGAATATTTGTCTGGGCGCCAAATACTGTTGTGTATAACATGGCATGCACAGGGCCTGCCACCAAGATGTATTCATCTGCAGTAAGAGATACAATGTCAAGACTGTTTCTCCATGGGATGTGTCCAGCAATCGCGACAGGTGAAGGCCTGCTGAGTTCTGACAAGGGGTGCTCAGGACCTGACCTCGGAACCGACGGTGCTTCTCTTCAGGGGATTGACGGAGAGGGCTTGGGACCCACGCGGCTATAAAGCATGTTCCCTTGAGCACGCGGTCTGGCGGCCCATGACTACGAAATTTAAGGATCCGTCCAGAATTTGGAAACGAGGCTCGTGACTCGGGCTTAGGACAATCTCGTCTACGCCATATTTCAATGTGATGTTGTTGTAGTCGCTCATTTCATTTTTATTTTATTTAACCTTTTTTATAGGCAAGGTAAATCCTGACCATCGTGGTACTGTTTAATCTGTTGACCCTTTCTCAGCAATTTATAATCGGTACTTTGGCCAGTATGGTGACTCGACCTGCTGGGATTCGACGCATCAAAATATGAGATGACGATCAGTGGGTTATGGTCACTTGAGAAGGATGGGCTTCCAGGGAGAATTCGTGGCCCAGTACATAGTACACACAGTGGGAAGGGTGGTTGGGGTCGAAAGAACGGTCCGTGGCGGTCCTGCGGTAGATACCCTGCAAGGCTTACATAACGCCAATCAGCCTCCACCTCTTTCTCCTAGTCGGCCCCACCTTACCCCAGGTTCTACCTTTCAGGGTAAGGATGGTATTTACTAGTATGATATGTTTCAGTCATGTTTGTGCGGGGTATCCTAGTTCTCTTGTACAAAATGCAATATCATGCATACAGCCCATCCCATGTACAGTAGCGAGAAGACACTATAGTATTAGTCTGGTTGTAAGGGATGCATCAACGTGAGGTGCTTTATTTTTTTTTAAAAGAGGTCTGAACCGACCCGTCGGTTCCCAATTCTGCACTATAACCGCTTGGGGCCCTCTTCCGAAAGATCAAGAGGCTATTAGTTTGGTAGGTTGTCCCATCCAAACCGGGATGTGGAGGCATAACAACACGGCCACCAAGCAAAAACGACTGAAGGGGGGAAAA